TCGCCACCAAGCAGACAATAAAATTGCGTGAAGAGTGGTTATATAACCTCAAAGAAGCTCCTTGCTATGAAAGACTGTTGGTTCAAAACCTCACTTTCAACATCAAATGGAACTCGTATATTCGTGCCATCGCTAAGGATGCTGGAAGAATGATTAGTTTTTTTTTATCACTCCAAAAAATACCTAACTCCTACTGCTATGCTCTATCTTTACAAGAATCAGATAGGGACTAAGTATGGAGTATTGCTGCCATATTTGGACATAGTTCAAAAGCGTTTACTTTTCCTTGTGTGTGATTGATTATTCTCTGTTCTGCAGCCTTTATCCTACAACCAAAATGTCGCAAGCCCCTAGCTACTATTTCCATGTTAGATGTCCTGACCAGCTATATTCCTTATTTCCAGAAGTTCTAACCTTCATTCCATGTCATGTACACTTGCACCAGCCGACCGCATTCCCGTAATATTCCATCAGTTAGGAGGAAGTTTCACTCAAACAGCTTCTTCCTTCTAAACGTTACTTTGTGACACAAACTCCAGAAAGGATGCTTTCCCGAACTCTCCCAACCTCTTCACGAGCACTTCCACTTGCTGTAAGGATTAGAAAGCGCGTCTCTCTAGATCAATTATGACTGAATAGTGATTTCGATCCTCAATAGATGCTCAATACTTCTGGCCTTACGCCATATCTAAGCTACTCATAGAAAATAACCAAAACGTCTTCAAGTCTAGGGTTAACTATATTTCCCACATATCCTCACAAATTGCACTTATTACCTTTTACTCTTACCACTCATACAATCTCATTCAGAAAAGCTCTACCTTGAGTGGCTCTTCGGTCTTGTATTGGATGATGGCACATACCATCTCTATTCCCTTCGCATTCTATTATCCCACACGAACAGATTTTCACCACTTTGTGGAATAGACTCCCGAGAGAATGCTTTTTCAACCACTACATCTTAACCTCTTCAAGTGTAAGATTAACCGTTATCTTCCCCACATATCCTCACAAACTGCACTTGCTGTGTTTAACTCTTACCGTTAATACAATAAAATTATTCAGTAAGCCTCTATATTGAGTAGCTCTTGTGCCATGTATATTAAAAAAAGCACTACCATACGGATCCGAAGATTTTTCTTTACACTGCAAAGATAAATTTGTTGCATCGACGTCAATGGGCAAATGACCAAAATCTAAAATACTACTTGTTATTTTGTTTTTCCAATGATTCTTGCTGTTGGTGTCTAATTGGTAGTTTATGCTGTTCTGGCTGGTATTTAGAAATATAACAGAAATCTCTGGCAGTCGATGCCTAGCATTTGAAACAAACGTTTATGAATGCACATCTTAAAAGAGACAACATACCTACCATCTCTATCACACATTACTAGCTTGTTAGTTGAGGCACGGTGGAGTAGTGGATAGCGGTTCGAATTGAGGAATCGGAAAACCGAGTTCGAATTCTAGTCGAATCTATTACATTCACTTACGTTCTAATACCTTTGGGAAAGGTATTAATCCTCTTCTTCTCCCGCCAGCTATGGGTAAATAGCAGGGCAGACTGGGTTCTATAGCCTTGGGTGGCAACTGGTCTAGGAGAAGGAAAAACTCTGAATTCAAAACCTGCAGAGGGTCGTTTGGGGACCTTGTGGCACGTAGTGCACCAGGTCTCTGTATTGGGCCCTTCAAAAAGTGTGGTTGGTTCTGCACAAAGCCTTCATCACTATAATCAAATCATATGTGCTGGTGTCTGGGCTGCTGGTTCCTAGGAACTGAGCTGCTTGACCCTCATACTTCGAATACGACGGTAGGGTGCCACCACCATATATATATATATATATATATATATATATATATATATATATATATGCGTGTGTGTTCGTGTAATACTGCACTGGAAGCACGATGCAATCGTCAGATGCAAATTGATTGAGAATTGCGTTTTCAAGCTGTACCTAACGATTGCGTTGTTCATGAAAACTCAGAGTCGTACTACCGGTGAAAAAATGTTTATTATATATATATATATATATATATATATATATATATATATATATATATATATTTGTTTATTTAGGCAGTAATCCTTCCTTCATGCACGTTTCATTGAATACGACAGACAAGGTGCTTTGATTTATTTTTTTATACAATTTCTCTTGTGATCTTATCTTTTCTTTCGTTTCGGTATATAAATTATATATAACTGTCCAATTGTTCTTTTTTTTGCGAGAGCTTTCGGCTATAAATTTAGCTATTTTCTTGACCGTGTTTTGAAAATGAAAACATCATATAAATAAATAGATACACCAATCTATTTCTTGTTAACAGTTATTATATTTCAACCTTGAAAATGGCTAAACCTCTCTACCACTTATTTTTAAATTGACCCTCAGTGCAACCAATATATGGTATATCTATGTATGTCATATCAATGTATATCATATCAATGTATGTCATATCAATGTATGTTATATCATTGTAAGCCACTGTCATGCATCTTCTGTGCAACATACTCAATTATTTTTTCTTTTGCAATTACAAAGGACATTAGTTCCAGCCCCTCCTAAGTTCTTGAAGATACGAATTTCTTTTGTTCAACATTTTAATAATGTTTCCTAGGTTGCTACACAACATTATATATATATATATATATATATATATATATATATTAAAGACATTTATATGTTTAACGTTCTTTTTTTATAGATACAAGTTTTTATAGATAAATGCTCTGTTTATAATAAACAGTATTAAATAACATTTACCAGCCTGAATGTCCGAAAATTTTTTCACCGAAAATATTCGTTCTTTGACAGGATTCGAACCTGCATCCTATACGGAACCGTCATTTACGCTGACGTGCCTTACCGATCGGCCACAAAGAAGCGTTCGGTAGACAAGGTCGAATTTACTGCTTATAAACTTCAATCTTCCATGAATCTCGTACATTCATAACTGCTCTGGCGTATCAAATGTAAACAAATGACGTCATATATTAAGAAATGGACAAATATAAATGGCATTTACTTAAATACTTGTATCTATAAAAAAGAACGTTAAACATAAAAATGTCTTTAATAAATAAATTGTCGGACTTAAGTATTTAAGTAAATGCCATTTATATTTGTTGATTTCCTAATTTTCTACACTTAAAAACTCTACATGTTAAATTTTTATCTTTTTATACGTGCATTGAACACTTATTTAATACTACTGTTTCCTGGTCTAATTCAACTCTGACCATTAACTTCCTTATTACACACACACACACACACACACACACACACACACAGAGAGAGAGAGAGAGAGAGAGAGAGAGAGAGAGAGAGAGAGAGAAATAATGGATCTATTTATAATCCGGAACGGCGATTTCTCTGAGAAAGAGAGACGCATGTTTGATCCCTGCGGGAGGGCACATTTTCTTTCTTAAGATTTATCAAATGCAAAGGCCAAGAGACATACCACATACTGTTTAAAATAAAAAAAAAAAACGTAGTGTCCATTCACATACGAGTATAATAACGTTTGAGTAATATATATATATATATATATATATATATATATATATATATATAAATATAACGATATATATTTTATATATATCAAGAATATATTTTTATATTCAAGAACGATATTATTTTTATGACAAATTGGAAAAAGTTTACTTGTGACGCGTTTCGTCCTTCAGGACTTCATCGGACTTTCTCTACTTTCTTTCTGATAAAATTTCCCCATATATATATATATATATATATATATATATATATATATATATATATATATATATATATATGTCCATAGAGTTCGTGTGTACTTTAAAAAAATTTACAACTATAATTTTGTATTTGCGAGAGAAATAATTTGTAAAAAGAATTAGAAAGAAGTAAATCTATATTTTTTAATGTTTTATTGAAATTTTATTTAAGTTTCCACATGTCCTCCATCAGCAATACAAAGGGTAATACGATTTTGCAGTTCACGGAAAACATTTGCCAACTGATTTACAGTAATGCCTGAAATCACATTAGTTATTTTAGCTATACTTAAAACTAGGTACATTAAACTTTATAACATTTTTTTTACAGATTATTTCTATCGCAAATACAAATAAAGTTATAAATTTTTTAAAGTGCACATGAACTTTATTGACACCCTGTATATATATATATATATATATATATATATATATATATATATATATACACACGAGATCGAAAGACAGTCCACTTCACAGGGTTCATTCATTTGAAGCCATTTTTAAACATTGATTTCAGTAAATGGTTGTATTTTCAAGTGGTATGCTTTCAGTTATTTCGTAAAGTTCTTTAATTTTGATTATGTAGCGCCAGTCACTGAGATCTGATGAGGTGTAGTCTTCTTTAAATCATTCACTTGACACCATTTTTTAATCAATGATCGCAGAAAATACTTGTATATGGTTAATAGTTTAAAGCTCTAGCTCTTGCCAAACACGCTGTATCATGTCTTGTGTAATATTTTCGATCACCTCATTGCGAACTTTCCTCAATGAGAATATAACGGTAAAATGAATCGGGTGTGCCAATGATAATGACAATGTACTGTTGATATAGTACCATGTTCACTTGACTTGACATCTTGTAATTTTTTTCTATAGGGCTATATGAAAGGACAGATCTATATACTCCCTCTTCCTACAAGCCGAGATGAACTTAAGCAGAGGAGCTGGTGAATGTTACGCAAGACATGCTACAGAGTGTTTGGCAGGAGCTACCGACTTGACGTATACTGTGTCACAGGTGGTGCGCATATTAAACATTTGTGAAGCTTTATGAAATCAGTTATAAAATCTACATCCCTTTGAATATCTTGTTTCAATTTTGATGAATATTTTTTTTTTATTGTTCAACATGAAGCCTATTTAATTTCGTTTGCCTGGGGCATATAGTTGCTCAGATATTCATATTTTAAAGTATGCCAATTTTGGGGGACACTCTATGTTTATAATTAGGCGATCGATGATGGCTAACTTAACAGTATATAGTTTTGTTTATATCGGCATCGTATCGTATAGGTTAAGATTATTATATCTATCAATATTTTAAAAATATATAAGAAAGGTCAGTCTTTATTCTGCAAACAAATTAAATACAACATAAATCCTTATAAATACATCTGAATGAATGATTGATTGATTGATTTGTTTTTTACGACTTATCAACCTTTTGCGGGTTATTTAACATCTGACAATATTTTTAGATTGTAAGAATTTTTTTGAATAATTAATGATTTACATGTCGTACTTTGATATTTTTTGCCAAAATTGAAGATTTAAATGTCTTAATAATTAACCCATAGCTATGGTGGGGGAGGTGGATTCATACCTTTCCTAAATGTATTTGTGCGTAACGAAGCCGAATAAAATTGAAACTCGGTTCTCTGATTTTTAATTCTGATCATTCGTCCACTACACCACCCGCACATGCAAGCTTACAGCACCTGGTATTCCCAAACTGTCACCCATCAAGATCCTGAACAGGCTCGACGTTGCTTAACTTTGGTGATCGTACGAGAAAATAAATCTAAAAGATAAAGTCCAGAGAGACAATAAAAAAAATTAAAAACAATATCCCATGATAGGATAGTCAATTAGAGGTAGGTCAGATAAATGCTGAGAATGTTTTTTACATTTCATCTCCTAAGTGCTTCGGTTTTATGTGTCATGAGCCCAGGAAAGCATAAGAATCAATTGTGTTGATTGATAATGTAGACATCTGTTATGTAGTGGTTTCACAGTGGAGGCTTGTATTTGTACTAAGTCGGTCCAAAAATAGGTTCGACGTACAAAACGTTAGAAACTTGATATAATAGGTAATGACGCAGTAATCTAGTTGTGGTGGCTGATACTTTAATATCCGACTATATTTAGTCACCCACCACCACCACCACCACGAGGGCATCATGTGGCACAAGGCCGGTTTAACGGGTTCAGGGTCGGTTTACCTCTCTGAGCGACTCACTTGTTACTCTTCCTACTCCTACTTATTATAGGTGGGAGAGTCTATTAACTATAGAATAGGTGTGTTCCACTATAACATCTAACTTCCGAATCGCCAGAACAACCTCCATATCACATTACCTATAAATAAGGATAAAACTCTAATCTTGTATGTATGTATGTATGTATGTTGAGGCGGTTAGAACGTTCGCTTTCTGACCATGAGACCCGGGTTCGAATCTCACGATAACACTTATTATTAATATAAATCATAGCTCTGTTATCATCTACTTCCTGATATTATCGGTCTTTGGAAACCATACCACAGGTTGACCCAAACCTTGTGAGTGAAATTGGGTAGACGGAACCATTGGAGTCGCCGATAACTGTGCTAGCACGAAGTCACAAGTCATCGTGACCGAGGGTTTGAGTGTGCTGGGCTTGTTCAGATTGTTGATCTAAGTAGCTAAGGTTTGCTCAGCAATTGCAATATAAATCACACGTTGTCTCTGTGGGTGTTGAACAAACCCTAACAGACGAAGACTAGTGGCCAGCTATTTATGTATGCATGTATGGTTTGTGTGTGTGTTCTCGTAATACAGATTAAACGATAAAAAATACACCTACCGATTTAGGGGCATATTGTACCTTAAACCCAAATTTTCAAATTACAGTACCAAATTTCATTAAAATTAGAAAAGGGGCTTCTTCAGCTCGGGTCTTCTGTTTTTACGGCATTTTAATTATTTGCTTTCGATGCACATTCTTATAACAATCCGAGTATATAAACAAAAACGTGCATATTAATTCCAACTATTATGTGTGTGAAAAATAATAAAAACGCATGATATATTATAAGAACTTTATTAAATAAATTTATATATATATATATATATATATATATATATATATATATATATTATAAGAACATTAACATTATAAATTTAAATATACAGAACAGAACATATATTTATACATTTCACTACAATACATTAGATTTTTTTATAAACAAACTAGCAGTAGATCACGGCGTTGCCCGGAGATGTAACAGTAAGAGATAGATCAAGTATCGACCATCATAAAGACTGAAAAATAAAATTGACAAAGATTATTGTTTAAGGTTGACGGACATGTCTTAATTAGTTTTTTTTTTTTTTTTTTTGTTTTGTTTTGTTTTTTTACGAATTGGTCAAACTCAAACAAAAACATTGTTTTCAATCGTTATGAGTCTACCGATTGAATAGAATTTTTCAATTTTATTATAAACAATTGTCTTGTAAATAGAATTTTTAAAGCATTCTGAATGTAAAAATAAAGAAAAAAGTGTGCAAGACAATAAGAAACACTACCTTCCAAAAAAAAAAAAAATGAAGTTTTGTTGAAATCGGTTGAAAAATGTAGGAAATCCGATCCCAAATATAAACGAACACACACACACATACAAACAAACAACCTGGGTTTTATAATAAGTATAACTCGATATGAGTTGTCCACATTTCATTCTCGAAACAGCGATGCCTTAATCGTGTTTTCAAATTGATTTCGTGCAAAAATAATTGTGTTTTTCCAATTTTTGGCGCTGTCAGAACCACCGCAAGGTAATTTTACGTAGTCCTGTGAAGTTTTGTTAAAATCGGTTGAAAAATGTAGGAAATCCGATCCCATATATAAACGAACAGTCACACACACACACACACACACACACACACACACACACACACACAACCTGGGTTTTATAATAAGTATGATATCTCCGATGTTTGGCAAGTACTTGATAGGTGGGTGTGTCATTGCAAAACGTAATCTGTATGGTTGGAAAATTGTGTTTCATGATTTGATGGTAAATAAATAACAAGATGCATGTTGGTTTGCCGACGTTTGCCGACTTTAAGATAAATGTGAGGAAAAAACATATATGTATAATAAACAATATAATTAATTTAATACTGTCTTTGATGTAAGTAATATCTTTTAATATGAATAATAAATATTTATTATAATAACTTGTATTGAAAATACAAATTAAAATATGTGTAATTAATAATAACATTCATAATCTTGTTACCGCATCATTTTGTATCAGGAACTGCTTTTAAAAGGAGTTCAACACGGAATTATTGGTGGTATAGCAATATATATATATATATATATATAAATGATGCCTTATATCCACTGTTGGTGCTAACTCTGTTCGATTTATAATTATGATTTATATTGATGATAAATATATTTTTCCTCACTGGTAGCACAACTCTGAGCTTCATACATAATGCATGATTGTGTTGTGCATGAAAATACAGGTTTGTGCTAGTGTTGAGGAATAAATACATACACACACACACACGCACACACACACACACACACATATAGATATATATATATATAGTGTGTGTGTGTGTGTATTTGCACAGCAACTCGTCAGTTATACATGTGTCATTAAAGACGACAGACATGGTACTGAAAATAAGCTTTTTATTTAATTTTTCTTGTGTTCAAACAAATGTTTTGTTTTCTGGACAGAGTGTGTAGAAATTGTACAATGTCCTGTACATCTCTCACAGTCTAACCATATCTATCTATCTATCTATCTATCTATCTATCTATCTATCTATCTATCTATCTATCTATCAATTACAGTCTGATCATATCTGTCTAAGATCAACCGAAATTTATTCGATGCATTGCTGATATAAATAGAAATGTTTCCTGAATACCTCTTACCAATATCGGTGGGTTAATAGCAGTTTTATGTGAAATTTATCTATCACAGTCTGGTCATATCTATCTATCACTATGTGGTCATATCTATCTATCTATCTATCTATCTATCTATCTATCTATCTATCTATCTATTACTACGTGGCCATATCTATCTAGCTATATATCTATATGACTGCACTGTGATAAATAGAAAGATAGATATGTTCAGACTGTGATAGATAGATAGATATTGTCAAATTTTGATATATATATATGTGTGTGTGTGTGTGCGTGTGCGTGTGCGTGTGTGTATGTGTGTGTGTGTGTGTGTGTGTGTGTGTGTGTGTGTGTGTGTGTGTGTGTGTATAGATAGATAGATAGATAGATAGATAGATAGATAGATAGATATGACCAGACTCTCATAGATAGATTTCACATAAAACTGCTATTGACCTACCGATATTGGTAAAAGGTATTCAGGATATAATAGTATTTATTTTACATATCTCTAGATTCTTGACAAAATCCAAAGAAGAGTCTGTTATATAACTGGTTCTGATCTGGCATCTCGATTTCAATCACTTTCCCATCGCTGTGACGTGGTTTCCTTCTGTATTTTCTATAAATATTTTCATTGCAATTTCTGATGAGATTTACTCCTTGGTATCTCGACTGCGTGAATTTCAGCGGACTACTAGGTTGGCTATTAGGTCTCACCGTGTTACTGTTGAAATAGAGAGATGTAACCGTAAGCTCTATTCTAGTAGTTTCTTTTCTCTCACTTCTCGCTTGTGGAACTCTCTTCCGGTTTCTTACTTCCTTGTCCCTTGAAGTCTTCAAAAGTTTAAATGCTACGTCAATCGCCATGTTCTGCTTTCCTGAATTCTGTTATTTCATTGTCCTTTCTACTGACTAAAGTCTTCTCGTTCTCTTTCACAGCCAGCAACCCTTTGCCTCTTAGTGGCATTATCGCATTGCTTGGGGTGAACTGATTTTAAAAAAATCGATATTCCAAATTTGGTCAAAAGAATTCAACATAGACTTGAAAGTATTTTTAAAATAATATTTTCTTTACGTTAGTTGAACTGTATTTTGACAATTATTATTATTCATCTCCAATCTAATTATGCCTGGAGTAGTATTTGTTCGGTATTTTCTTAGGCGCTGTGAAAAATTCGAGAAAATTTGAGAAAAATTGGGCGTAGTATCTACAGACTAACTTGATTAGAATTCGAATCTCTGGCTATTAACTGAATTGGAACACTAATTTCTTTTACTCGTTGAGAATATGTAAATGTCTTACAAATAACATAAAAGTTTAGTTTGGCACAAGGGCATAATTGTCGAGTGTCAAGTAAGTATCGAACGCACAACACTTTCGAATTTATCTGAAACCCAAGTTTATGAGTTATCACCCTTATGGAGGCCATTGCTTTTGGGATTTGTTTCTGTCCAAGTTGCAATATCTTCTTTCTTTCTTTCTTTTTTCTTTCTTTCTTTCTTTTTTTCTTTCTTTCTTTCTTTCTTTCTTTCTTTCTCAATATTTTATTTACGATTTTTTCTTTTAAAATATTTCTCTTTTCTTTCTAAATGTTTTCCTATGTAAATGCTCCTCCTTTTTTAAAGATTGAAACCTTTTTTGTTTGTTTCTAATAATTTCTTTTCCCTTCTTTGTTGTTTCTTTTTAATCATATCTTTCTCTTTGTAAACACTTGCACTTTTTCTTGTTAAAGTTTTTTCTTTCTTTCTCAACATTTTTCTTTCTTTCTTTCTTTCTTTCTTCTTCATTTGCTTGTCCCTTTATTTTTAAGTATATAGTTTCTTTCTAAATATTTAATTTCTTTTTTGTTGAAAATTTTGTTTGTCTTTCTTTTTTCTATCTTTCTTTTTTAACGTTTCTATCTAAACCTTATTTCTTTTTTCTTTCTTTCTTTCTTTCTTTCTTTCTTTTAATCTCTATCTACCTTTTACTTTCAATTTTTTTTCTCTTTTCTTTTTATTCGCATTTTTTCTCTCTTTAGACCTTTTTCTCTTGGTATTTTTCCTTCCATTTTCGCCTTACTACTAACCAATACTGATTAAAACACGCACGCACACACACACACACACACACACACACACACACACACACACCCTTCTCCGCTATATTTCCGCCTGCATCCCAAAATAAAACCAATTATAAAATAAATAAGAAGCTACGAAAAAATAAAATTTATGAATTAACAACAAAAGAAAACATATAGTCGGTAGTTTTAGTACACTAATTACTATAGCCAACTAAACACAAAAAAATACCAACATCATTACAATCAATTCTACAAAAGTAACAAATTCAACTAAACATTTTTTTCAGATCAGCTACTACTATTACAACTACTAATATAATTACTACTACTATTTCTCCTAATAATACCGTTGCTGTTGGTTGGTGCTAGTGTTCCTACTTAGCTTTTTACCTAAGGCACCTCCATCATCCCTCCAAAGAGCACACGTGGGATGCTCTACTCGCCTTGTAAGCTATGCGTTTGTTGAAGAACTTGCCGGGTTGGGTAGAGCAATATCTTGCATAGTATTTCTCGGAAAACCATATCTATCTATATGAAAGCCCCTCTCCATATATAGTCAACTGAGTGGAGCCCATCCCGTACTCGACCCGTACCGCCCCGGCTACCAAGCGATTTTTGTCTGCTAAGTGGAAAAAGAAGAAGACGAAGTGTTAATCTCTTACCCGCTCTCTGTATATTTTCTACTTGTCTCTCCTTTTTCGCCATTTTGTAAGCTCGTCTGCCTGCTTCGTTTTTGTAAACCCCACCCGAAACCCAAAAAACTTTACATCGTGTCGTCTGCTACTTTCTTGATTTTTGTTTTTAATGTTATTATTTTCGCACTTCTTCATATTCGTTTATCGCCTTTCTATCAGATTTTGCTTTAAATAATTATAATCATTTTTAGTCTTCTTTTTAATAGATGATACCTTTCTGTTCATGATTTTCTATAATTAAATCTTTTCTTTTTTCATTCATTTTTTTTTTACTTCATTCTTTTTTCATTTTACTTCATCCTTTTTTTCATTATTGTTTTTATTCTTAAGGCCTTTTCTCTCTTTCTTCTTTACACATCCTTTACGCTTTCTGTTAGTCTGATGTTTCTTTATTTTTTTCAGATCGTTCTTTTTCTCATTTATCTGCCTTCACTTTTAATACCTTTCTTTCTTTTAATATTCATGTATATACTATATATCACTTATCCATATCATCCTTAGAATTTAAAAGTTCTTTCTTTCTTAGTTCTTACATTCTTTTCTTCCTTCTCTTTTTCTTTTTATTTCCTTTCTTTCTTTCTTCATTTCTTCATCAGTTGGTACGTTATTTTCTTTCTCTTTTTCTTTCTTTCTTTCTTTCTTTCTTTCTTTCTTTCTTTCTTTCTTTCTTTCTCAGTTCTTACATTCTTTTATTCTTTCAGTTTTTCTTTCTTTCTTTCTTTCAAATTACGGTACCTTTTATTTATTTTTGTCTTTCGATTTTTCTTACAGCTTCCATTTTCCATTTTTCTTACATTTTATTGGGTGGGGGTGGTTGGGTGGTATCGTTTTTAACGATTCTTACTAAATTTTCTATATTTTTCTTTCTTAGTTCTATTCTTTCTTTCTTTCTTTCTTTCTTTCTTTCTTTCTTTCTGTCCTTCAAATTTCTGTAAATTCATTTATTTATTTATTTATTTTCGCCTTTCAATTTTTCTTAGAGCAACCATTTTCTATTTTGTCGGAGGAGGGTTTTTTTTTAACGATTCTTATTGAAATTTCTATATCATTTTCCTGACGACTTTTTTCCGTTTCACTTTTTTAGTCTTTTTCTAATATATTTCCCCTCTCTTTCTTTCTTTCTTTCTTTCTTTCTTTCTTTCTTTCTTTCATTGTTACTTTTTGTCCCTGTCTTTTTAGAGAGAATATTTTTGTGTTGTTTTTATTCATAAACTTGTTTATCTCCTTTTGCTCACTTTCCTTCTTTTTAATTTCATTCCTTCCTAATTGTTCCTTTTACGAAAAAGAGACGGAATAATAAATTTACTCCTTTCTTATCTTTCTCCTTCTTCTTCTATCACTCTTTTATTTTAAACTTTCATCCAATTCGTTTTTTATTCGTCATATTCCTTCATTTTCACCGATTTTATTTCTCACACTTTAATATATTTCTTTTTCCTCCTCGTTTCCTTCATTAAAACTCCTTCACCGATTCCTTCTCTTTTCTTTCTTTCTTTCTTCTTTTTCACTTATTACTTAATTTTTCGTTCTTCAAATCACATTCTTGTTTCTTTTTTATTTAGATGAAGATAACAGCCCGAATGATGTAAATAATGTAAGTAATCATAATACCTCATCTCAGAGATATAGACAGATAGTTAATTGCTAATTACATACTTCTTCTTTCCACCTCTCAGTGTCCTGGGTATGATGATCTACATCCGGCAGTAAGGTCTATAATCGGGAGATTGGAGGTTTTGAGAAGAGTGGAACCACATCATAACGGCTGTTGCTTTCAGGTCCCACCCTGACTCGGTGTGGTAGCACCTGTTAAGGTCAAAACTAGGGACAAATAGTTACCCCCCCCCCAAAAAAAAAGACTATGAAAATATAAAAATACATTTTTATAGTAAAATACCAGCAATACATTTTTATATAAAAAGAGTAACCAACAATACATATTTATAGTAAAATGTCCAACAATACATTTTTAAGGCAAAATAACCAGCTATAGATTTTATCTGTAGTTGAAAGTATACAAGTGCGTTCAAAATGTATTTAATTGAAGCCATAAAATTTTGTTCAGATTATTTAGATTTCGGCATCAAATGACCCATAGAGGTGTTGATATGTTGCTTAACAAAATCAATCAACCATCCCACCTCTCAGCCGACACACTTCCTCTCGGTTATCTCCATAAAACCTCTTTGCGAATACAGCCACGTTTTCTTTACGATTGTCCCTATCGCCTGATCTTTCCTCAACAATTTTGTCAAGCAATTTTAATTCTACTACCACCACCAGCAAGACGCAAGCGAAAGTCTTCGCGAAAGGCACCAGATCCATAAGTCTCGCAAAGTGTGAAGAAAACCGTAGCAGTAGAGGTCGCGCAACCTTCGCATGGACGGATTCCTGCTACTCCCGATTCCGCTGGCCATGCCTCTCCTACTTTTGAACGCGTTAAAAGACGAGCGGCCGGCCTTCCGTCGAAAGGGAATCGGGTTAATATTCCCGAACCCGGACTCGGAGAGTGCTGGTGGGTAGCGGCGATGCTAGCAGCAATGTCGGTGGCGTCTCGTTGCTTCTCGGGCGAAACCGCGGTAACGCAAGCGAACCCGGAGACGTCACTGAGAGCCCCGGGAAGAGTTCTTTCTTCTTCGTAAAGGACCGTGTTCGTGGAATCGGCTCCTCCGGAGATACGGAAAAGGTACCTGTAGAGCGTCGCGAGTCGGGCGACGTCCAGTGGACTTTCGGCAGCCTTGGAAAATCCAGGTCCGGTTTTCGCCGCTCTCGAGTCGGCCCTGAAATTTTTTTCCTTTCTATACTCATGGCAATATAGATAATTAGCTTAAATCATTTTGGCACATAGTCAGAAATATTGTTCAAAATAGCGATACCAAATATGTCCACGATAATGACTTAGCATTAATCTGACTTTCGTTCAATCGATAGTGTTATATAGGAATAAAGAGTTTGAACATAGATCGCCAATGAACAAACACAGGCGATCCCAATATTGAATTAAGTAGACCACGTGACCATAGATGAAACGCATAAGTAGAAAGTCGCGTGACGTCCAAATGGTCACCATTCTTAGTCTATCCTCTATTACTATTCGGATCGTTATTTCTAATCTATCTTCTATTACTGTTCGGGGCACTATTTCTAGTCTATTGCTATTCGGGTCGCTAGTTCTAGTCTATCCTCTATTAATATTCGGGTCACTATTTTTAGTCTATCCTCTATTACTATTCGGGTCGCTAGTTCTAATCTATCCTCTATTAATATTCGGATCACTATTTCTAGTCTATCATCTATTACTATTCGGGTCGCTAGTTCTAGTTTATCCTCTATTAATATCCGGGTCGGTATTTCTAGTCTATCCTCTATTACGATACGGAATCGCTATTCTCTACTCTATTCACTATACTTTATTTGGATCACTATTCGGCGATTACTATTCGAGCGAGTATCATCGAGCACGTACTATTAGTGCGAGTGCTGTTCGAAAGCGTCTGACATCAGTATTGTTCAACGGCGTTACTATAGTTGTATCACGATTACTAAGTCTCTACTATAACGAGCAAGGCAAAAGTGACAACGAGTAAACGTTGGCATTACAAAAGTGGCAACGAGTGTTCGTTGACATCACAAAAGATAGTATTCTCAGCATCTGTCTATAGATTCCCATTTCTATCGCTTCGAGTCTTCATCTGTAAGGAAACTGTCCATTAGTCACTGCTATATAGGTATGATTTAACATTCTTTGTTTCTAACGAAATTCTTCTATCTCTTATTAATTTGTTGCGTTTCTGCAACGCATCTTTCCCTATTCCAGTCCCCCTTTGAAATGATCCCTCTTCGAATCTTACGTACGTTCCCATAAGGATTCTCCGACATTCTCTGCCCTCTTGATGGCTTCAAAGAACTGACATCAGTATTGTTCAACGGCGTTACTATAGTTGATGAACATCGCTATGCTGGAGCAACCTCTTTACTCACCCGACCTGGAACCGCTTATTTTTTTTCTTTTTCCCAAGCTCAAGGGGGTCATCAAGAGGACCTGTTTTCCGGACGTGGAAGCGAACAAGAGGGCCGTGACGACAGAGCTGCTGAGATTTCCAGGCGAATCCTTCCAGGAGTGCATAGAGGCATGGCAGGGAAGTGGAAATGCGTTAAACTCGAGAGGGGTTGATATCAAGGGAAAATTGATAGTATTACTCAGCATTTGTCTAATTTCAGTCCCGTTTCTTTCTCACTGTGCATGCAAAGCATAAATTTCAAACTGATAAACAAAAAGTAATTTCAATCGCTGCCGGTGTTTAGATTGGTTGATTTTCAGCTCTCGTTGGGTTGTTTAATCACTGCACCAAGTAAGAATCGAACTCAGTAGATTAGACTAGCTGATTTACCCTCAGGCGTCTGTCGCTGCCAATGTTGGATCATATGAAATATATATGAACAACGTTTGTTTGAATCGTTTAATTTTCTGTTTTATGCTTTCATTTCAATCATTAATTCGTGACTTCTGTCTTTACCTGGTCTTCGAACTGGGATCAAAATATAGTTTCTGTTCTTTCTTCCTCATAAAATTAAGATGGTAACCTGGTCCCAGGGATTTCAACCTTGCGCCAGCGCCTTCCTCATAACACTAAAGATTGAGGTTTGGTAGAGACAGACGCCAGTCTGACTGATTATGAGGAGCGAGCGGATTTTTGTTCTTCCTCCATATGTACATGTAAGAGCACAGCGCATTAAACTGACCCCTGTGTCCATTACTATGGTAAATGTTCAAACGAGAAGGTTCATTAGTTTCACCGGTTCGGCTATGACCCTATATCCGCATGAACATTATCAACTCGTCCACATTCATTTCGTATTTCTTTTGGTAAGAACTGTTACTTTGATGGCAAACTCCAAGACGATGATCCCTAGACCTTTAAAAAATCTAGGGTCCCCAACCCTTATCCACGATGTACCTCTTCTTCCTTGAACCTCCCTTACAAAAATCTCACTCAGTAAGCCTCTACCTTGACTGACACTTGAGCCTTGTACTGACCTAATGTAAAAAAAATAATAATACTCTCATTGTGGAGAAGTTGGTGAATTTTCCTTTGCCGGGTTATCAAGCTGGGATTAATGTATAGTATATATTCCCTCTTTCACTTAAAATATGAGGGAAGCCTAGTTCCGGGGATTTCAACTTTACGCCAACGCCTCCCTCATTGCACTTAAAATGGTTGGTTACTGGATACCAAGGTCAGGGCCGTGGTCGACAAGAGCTTTTTGTCTTTGAGATGTCCGCGTATATGTATGCACCCCACATTAACCTAATCTTGTGTCAGAACCTACTACCGTGGCAAAGGAGGATAAATGCAGAAAACCTTTATATCCGGTCTTGTAGCAATTAAAAAAATGTTAGCATCATTTTCCAGTTCCAGTGCCAATCAGAGATTCCGACCCCAGAACAGCACTTCCCCAACTGCACTAAACTCGATAGGGGATGATCGATTTACAAGAAGGAAAAGAAAATTAATTCATGTCTTTTAAAGTAATATTTCATAAATTCAGTTTACAATCTGTCTAAAGTCTTTCTCTCTAATTTCAGTCCCGTTTCTTTTCTAATATATATATATATATATATATATTCATATATTTCAGGGTTACAGGGAGTGAAAATTAAAGAGAAAACTAAGGATTAAGGAAAGGATAAAAGATAAGCGGATTCAAGAATGTACAAAATGATAAACAAAAATGAAGGAAGTTCCAATCGGGAAGCCGGAAAAGAAACTGTTGGAGTTGAAGATTGGTTTATTTTCAACAGTAAAGATGCTCGTTGCACGTTGTTTTCATTTATTCTCAATTTCAGAGTTGGCATGAAAATATTTATAGAAAAGACAGAGGGGAAGCAACGTCGGTGAGAAAATGAATCGAGATGCTGGTCAGTATTAACAGACGTAAATCAGATTAATGACTAAGCCCAACTTAGATTATCTCACCCTCAGGCGTCTGATTAAACGACCATGCCAATTCTACCAGTTGGATCATAATGAAGAGTGTATTGTTATATTAGATTTGCTGCGGTCATCATGAGGTACAAGAATAGAATTAACGTTTGTTTGTTGAGTAGTTTGATTTTCTGTTTTAATACATTTCATTTCAGTAAAAATCATTTTTATTCTGGCGATACTTCTGGACTTTTAAACATTCGAAATTAATCTGATTTTCCAGGTATTTACCAGAACGGAAGGAAAGACTTTTATTATACCGAATATTACCTTTCAGTTTTTAAATAACTGGGATCAAAATAACCCGGATATAAGAAAGTTTCTGGAGAAGAAGTTCTTTATCCGGGTTTCTCTATCCGGTTTGGTCTATTTTATATTAACATGGCTCTAATTTGGGACCAGAGAAAATCCTTATATCCGGTTTTTATATCCGGATCTTTTATATCCGGCGCCATATATTTCGAATACCTGTAGAAAGAATGGCTTCCTCGAAGACATATTCAATTAAATGAAGCAATTTTAGATATAAGGGTTTGGATATAAGACACCTTGTTATTCGTCCTTTTCCAATGTTTTAGACTGATTATGGGATAAACGTAGCGAAATGTCGAAGGATAAAAATTTGTTCTTCATATAAACGAAAATTACCCTCAAATTAATATTAAGGGAAAAATAATCTACCTAGAGCCCTTCAAAATGCCCCCTTAAACTGACCCCCAGTCCTTGCGTTTTGCTTTGCATTTCATCTGTTCGGTTTGGTAAATTGTCGTTCTTCAAAAAAATAAAAACTTGAGTTCTTCAAAAAAAAAACTTGTGGCGTCTTTCAAAAAAATGGCGTAAAAAATAAAAAACTTTTAGCGTTCATTAAAACTTTTAGCGTTTCGTAGCGTTCTTCAAAAAATAAAAACTTCAGACAAATATTCATATCTGTAATGGACTTAAAAAAACATTTTAACAACACCAAAATATCGAATGAAAATTAAAAAGAATACATTTGTTTTCGTTTTTAATTTTACTTTGGACCATAAAAATGTTAATATTTTAGTAGAACAAAATAAAAGAACAATTTCCAGGAAGACGATGATCCCTAGAAAGAGCTTTAAATAAAATAATATACAAAATTAAGAAAATAATATCAACAAAAGAGTAGAGGGTATAATATAATTTGGTTTATCTCGCCTTATAACAGTAAAATAAAAACAAAAATAGGCAAATTATTCTTCAAGGTAATTTTCTAAGGTGTTCCCCAAAATGAGAAGATACAGTTAAAAGGTAAGGGAATAACAGAGGTACGAAATCATGGATAATTTTAGTTGTTCCATGAGACCAACTCATTTTATAATGTTGCAACGAAGATCAGAATGGATTAGGGAGATAATGAGAAGATACAGTTAAAGGACGACGGAATGACCGAGGTATGAGATCATGGATAATTTTAGTTGTTCTGAGACCAACTTTTTATAATGTTGCAACGAAGATCAGAATGGATAAGGAGATAATGAAAAGATACAGTTAAAGGACGACGGAATGACCGAAGTGAGATCATGGATAATTTTAGTTGTTCCATGAGACGAACCTGGATTAGGGAGATAATAATGACCTAACGACGTAAAAAAAGATCATGGATAATTTTAGTTGTTCCATGAGACTAACTC